AGCAGGCGCTGGTACTGGATCAGCCAGTAGTTCTCCTGTTTGGTTTCACTCTTCTCCTCCATTTCCAGCTGCAAAACAAAACCAAACTCACTCGCTCAGCACCCCGAGGGAACGGCAGAGGGGGAATCTGGGGAGCCCAGGCTGGATGTGAAGGAGGGGACACCAGCACTGGCTGGGCAGGGCCAGGGCAGAGCACTGGGTGGGCACAGCCACGGCAGGATGGGCATTTCTGGCCTCCTGCAGGCTGAGCCCACCCTGACCCCACGGCCAGCCCAGGGTCCTGCACCCCCCAGTCACCCTGCCCCAGGCACTGGATCAGCCTCCTGACACTCAGGGGAGTCTGGAGGTCACATGCAAGCACCTCATGGGATGTGCTCATCCCTCCCTATGACTCCCTTTCCTGACAGGGGAGATTGATGATGATGATGGTGCCTCGTGGTGCCCCAGGGAGTGGCACTAACTGTGCCCCAAGAGCTTAGATCAGCACCTCCTGAAGTTAAATCAGCCTCTGGAGCTGGACAGAACCCCTCAGAGGCCTCCTCTGCTCCCCTTTATGCCCGAGCTGACCCACGGACTCTCTCCCTGCAGCCACCCCATGCACTCCCTCATCTACAGCAGCCAGTCAGGGCCCTTCAGTACCAGTATTTGTCGCAGTTCTTCTTCCCTTTGCTTCTTTTCTTTGAGCAGCTGCTGCAGCAGGTAGCCGAGGGCTTGGCGCTGCTCTGCGATCACCCCCTGCAACAGAAGGACTCTGGCCTTCACCTCTCTGTGCCACAGAGCTGAGAGCCACCACCCCTGCCCTGTTCCCAGCCAAGCACTTACCATACCAGCCCTGTGCTCCACAGGCCCTCGGTCTGAACCCTCTCCTGGCAGCTGCCCTGGCAGCCCCAGGCTGTGCCTGTTCCTGACCATCACCTGGTGGTGCCAGCCCCCAGCACAGCCGGGGCAGCCCCAGCAGCTCTTCAGCCCTCCATCAGTTCAGTCAGTGGCACTGCAGATGTTCACAGTCCCCCTCCTCCACTCACCCCCTGACACTAGGTCTAGAAGCCTGCAGGTAGGCAGGACAGGTAGGGCAGCAACTCCCACCTTTGGGAAGGTGCCTTTCATCAGTGCCTCACACCAGTGGGATGGCAAAAGCCACCACTGCAGGGACACCGTGGGGAATGAGGAGCAGATAATGGCCTCAGGAAGCTCAGACTGGGCTGGCACCTCTGCATGGACCAGTCCCAGCGAGCTCATACCTGCTGGGAGGACCAGACTGAGCAGAGGCCAGTAGCCAATGGCCACAAGGAGTTCAGATGGCCACAGGCAAGGGGACAAGGATTCTGTTAGAAGGTTGACTTCTCCTTTAGGGAGAAGTGTGGGGAAACCTCCCTGATCAGCATCTGGACCCTCCAGAGGGGCAAGGTCCTCTGTTTAAGCAGGAGACAGGCACACCTGCCTCTTATGGGCAAAACCCCCAGGAGCTGGTCAGAGGTGCTTGGCCCTGAGGGAGGGAGGAAGACTCTGCAGCCTCAGGACCTCAGCAGAGGGACAACCAAGAACACGTGGGAGCTGCTCCAGATGAGCAACCCTGGCAGCTTCAGCTCACCTCGAGATGAGCTCTCCTGGCCACCCACTCTGGGGACACCCTGCCAGGACTGCCCTCCCAAACTGACCCTGCAAGGGACCCGTGCAAACATCTCCCTCTCTCAGGGGGCTTTTGGTTCTTCCTGCTTTCCAGTGACTGACCAAGGTCATCACCAGAGCACCTGTACAGAGGGAGGAAGCAGCAGCCTGCTGCACAGAGGCAGGAGCATGGCTGCAGAAAAGCTTCTGCCTGTGCCCTGGGGGTGGTTCAGCCACAGCAGGGAACCTGTGAGCTGTAGACCAGCAGGGCCAGGGGGTCTCCAGAGAGCTGAAGCTGTCCTACACCTTGTTTCCTCACATCCTAGTGCTGAAGTTGCAAATGTGCTGTGCTGCAGGGGGGCACCAGGGCAGAGCATTGTCTTCTGCACTCTCCTGGAGCTCCTGTGGTCACCAAACAGGAATCCCCCAAGTCCAGTGTCATCTGAACTACATCTGCCAGGGGTTCCTTGGTGCTGGTCTTCTTCCCTGTGTGAGTTTTGGGTTGACCCCCACCACCAGGCTCCAACACAGGAGTGTTATACAGAAGAGCTGCATGAGTTCAGGCAGCATAACCCAAACCTCACACTTCAAGGTGTCCAGCACAGGGCTTGGAGGCACCAGCCTGGGTACACTGCTCCTGGGGAGTATGTGATGTTTGCTGTGGATTTCAGCTGACTAAACAGGTGACCTCACCTGGCCAACAGTGCACACATGAAAGCAACCGATGCAAAAGCACAGTAACAAAATTTAAAGCCAAGCTGCTTAAGCCAAACCTGCTGTTCCTCCACGTGTGGCTGCCAGTGAAGCCAGCCCAGCTGGGGGATGGTGGGAGGCAAGGCTGAGAAATGGGTGGGGAGGGCTGGCAGCCAGCCCTGGCAGTGCCAGCACCACGGCTGGCAGGTGTGTGAGGCCAAACCACGCCAGGGCAATGTAAGGAGCCATGCGATGGGGGCAGGCAGGTGGCTCTGGGCAGCCAACAACTGGATCCCCAAGTCCTTCCCCACCCAGCCAGCCTGGAGCTGCCCACAGCTAGAGGAGCCCATCTCTCCCCCGACGAGGCACCGAGGTGTTCAGGAGCAGCAGCAATCTTCCCAAGCTCCCAGGACAAAGAGGGCTTTGTGGTGGCCTGTGGGTGAGGACCCTTCTGACTAAGCATAAAACCACCTGGAAACTGTGAGGAGCAGAAGAAGCAAGTGGAGCTTTGGCAGTGCCAGAGCAGAGAGAGGGTGGTGGGGCAGCCCCAGAGCCCTACATACCTGCAGCGTCTCTGTGTCCAGTTCTTGCCTCTTTACCTCCAGCTGTGTCAGCTGCAATAACTCTGTTTCTATTAATTTAATCTAAACAGAAGATGAAACATTTTTTACTGACATTTGAAACGACTTTGGATTTACTCTCTTTTAAAATGAGGTCTGCCTGCTGCCCTCGGAGGGGTGGCACTGCAGAGCTGCCCTGAATTTTGGGGAACCCTTCTGTGCCACATGCTCTTAGGGTCAGTCTTCATCTCTTGCCTGAGGAGCTGTGTCCCCTGCTCTCTTACTGCCTCTCTGCTCTCAACACCTTCTGTTCAAGTCTAGAGGCACATTGCCATCAGTTTGTCCAGCTGAACCTTTTGCAGCCACTCTGGAAGGCAGCAGCTGGTTGTCAGAGTCCTCCAAGCCCCACCACTCAGACTGCAGCTTAGCTGGGGCAGGGTCCTGCTTTCTAGGTGCTCCAGCAAATCCCACACTGACACGTGCTCTTTTAGGTGGGGCAGCTGAGACACAGAGAGGTGAAGTGAGTTGCCCAAGATCCCACAGCAAAGCCAAGATGAGAGCCCAGCTCACCTACCTGCCAGGCCACCTACCACCCCCAGGCCATGCTGTGCCACCCTGCTCTGCAACAGGCAGCACCCAGGGCTCTGCCTGGCAGGATGCTGGCACGTGGGCTGGGCTTCAACAGCCATGATGGTACCAAGGAACAAACTCCCTTTGTTTACAGAGCAAACTGCAGGGCTCTCATTGATGAACTCGAGCAATGGAGACTTGTCAGAGCCATCTGCTGGGCTGTCCACACACAATCCACAGGCTTCCAGCAGAGACTGGTCACCAAGTGACTCAGTATGTCCAAGCTCTTAAGCTTATCCACCAGCTCGTGATCTGAGACTTTTCTGCTAGTGTCAGGTGAGGAGAGGGAAGATTCTGGAGCACTGTGTCAGAAACCAGACACCCAGCTCTGTGCTTCAACCACCACTGCTCTCCCATCTTCATGCATCAACCACTGGAACCTTCTCCACCAGCTCTTGCTCTTCCCCGACTCCCCCATTGCACCTCCTGCAGGATGAAGCTCAGAAAGGCAGGCTAAGAATGAGAAAGGAAAGGTGAACTTATGGCTCGAGGTGCAGATCCGATGTGCTGGATGGAGATGCAGTGGACTCACGTGGGCACAGCAGCCCTGCTAGGAACACCAGCTGAAGGAAGCCAGAGCTGCAGAGGAGCCCTGCAGAGCCTCTAGCGCCCACTCTGCAGCACTTCAGCCACCCCGGCGCCGAGGGACTGCAGCCGTGGCAATTCCACCACTCCCTCGGACCTAAGACCTGCTCTGACACTCCCTCCTGTGGAGCTGGGAGCCTCACCAGCCACCGCTGTCCAACGAGAGCTCTCAGCAATACAGCTCTTTGTTTGCTCCTGCTCTCTGCTCACAGCACTTGGACCTTCCTCAGAAGCCTCTCATCCAACGGTGCTATGAGCTGAGCAGCTGGTTGCTCCTTCCTCTGTTGCTGACTCACCTGGTTCCTGATCTGCCTGTGCATAAGATCCTTCTTCACCTGGAGAGCTTCAAAGGCAGCTTTCTGCATCTCAATCTAGGGGACAGACAGTGCTTAGTGGTGGTTCTTCATGCAGCTCCAGGTGGGCTGAGGAGCTCCACTACCTCAGGTACAGGCACCTGAACAGTGCTTCATCTGGGCAGCAGTGTCCTGACTGCACCAGGACCAGGTCCCACCATCCCAAAAGCTAAAACCCACTTTACAGACAGACACAGATGTCACAGTCATGTTCTTCAGGCACACGTTCTGAATGCTGTGTGTGTGTGCCCTGCTGCTCACTTCCAGCAGCACTGAGTGCCCAGGCTGTGCACAGCCCACGGCTGCCCAGCACTTCTGAAAAACCAGCTGCAGAGCTCTCAGGTTCAAAATGAGGGATACAAAAGGAGCAGAGGCTTTGAAAATGCTTCCAGTAGGCAGCTTGCCCCAAATCACCCAGGAAACATGCTATAAAGACAGGAGTTCTGTCTCAAAATCCTGTTAATCATGAGACCAGTTTTGTCTCCTATGGTCTGTGCTTCTCTCCTTTCTGAAAACTTGCTGTCCAGTTAAAAAAGAAATACATTTCTCTCTCAGCCACCCAAGGCAGATTGTTAGAACAACACCAGAGATTCTGTTTAGCCTCCAGTGTCCTGTGAGGTGACTGCTGCATGCAGCCCAGCCCTGCCACCACTCCTGTGAGCCCTGACCCTGCTCCCACAGGCAGTTGCTCTCCCCTGACCCCCCCACCAGCAGTTTGCTCCCTTGCCTACCTGCTGCAGGATCTGGCTGACAGCTTTGTTCTGATCCAGCTGTTGCCACGCCAGGATCTGCTGGAATTTTTGGTCCATCTCAGCCAGGCTGCAAGAAGATGGATTTGCCATGGAGTTACTCTTGGGTCTGAGACTCTCCACACAAAGCAGAGGGAAAGTGGGCAGCAGAGAGAGTTTAGGAGTGGAGATGTTTGTTACTGAACAAGGGTTACTGAAGGCTGACAGGTTTAAAACCCCTTCCCTACCACCAAACCAAACCTGCTCCACAGACCAAGCCCCAGCAGCAGCACCACTGCCTACATGTGTGCACCTCAAAGTCCAGGCAGAGGCTGCTCCTGCCCCAGCAAGTGCTCAGGGGAGGAACTTGCACATCAATATTCTGCCCTGGAAGGGGTGTGCTGATGAAGGAGACCCAGACAACCTGCAGGCAGGCCCATGTCTGCCCCTTGCCCTCTGTTGGGCAGGTCATAGGCACATAGGGGTGTTTCTGCTCAGTGCTAGATGCTGTCAGATTGAGATTTCTCACCTCTTTTTAATAGAGTGAGTCAGAATGCTCCCTGTACATACAGCAGCACAGCAAGTCCTACACATATACCAACAGCCTCATCAAGACAACCCTGGGAGGTGAGGAAAGCAGTTCTGGGCTAGAGTTTGAGCTGCCTAACAGGCAGAAACTGGTCTAATTTCATCCTCCATACTTAACAGTATGTATAAATAGTGTAAAAAAGTGATAGCTCATCCAAAACATGCTGACTATGCATATTCTTGTAGTTAGAAGGTGGCTAATTTGATGGGAGTTGAACAGTGCATTGTCACCTGCTCCTCCACAGCCATCCTGCTGCATTCCAGCAGCTGTGGGAGCTCCTGGGTGTGCATGTGGGAACCACACTGGGGACTGCTGGAAGGAAAAGGCTGTACAGCAGTGCCCCCAGCCCCCTCCCCCTGTACCTGGAGCAGGCCTGGCTCACAAGGTCTTGCCGACGAGACTCGTAGGTCATTTGGATGAGCTTGTTCTTGTAGCTCTCAGCCAGCATTTGCTGCATGGCAGCTAGGAGAGAGAAGGGCTGTCAGTCCAGGTCAGGAGCAGCTCTCTAGAACTAGAATTTTAGCCCATCTACCACTGCCACTAACCACGTGCCTCAAGCAGTGCCTGCTCTCTCACTCCAACCTGCCCTTGATTTCCCATTTCCTTCATTTCAGAGCAGACTCATTCAGCTGCAAGAATTGCAGCTATTTACTGGCAAATAACCTGAGCCAACTCCACTCTGCCTCTGCTTGCACCTCCTCAGGGCTCAGAGGAGCCCATCACTCCCTGCCAAGCCTCAGGTGGGCTGCAGCTCTGCCTGTCCCACCCTGGTGGTCACAGCACACAGCCCGTTTCCCTTCAGTCCCAGCAGATCAGTTCATGGTCACCACGAGCAGAAAAGGCTCCCAAGCACCACTCTTGCTTACCACACACCTCCTACTTCATGCACCCAAACAGTTAACATCTGTTGGGCACCTCTGAGGGCTGAAGCACTTTGTGTGCTCACATCCAGCCTCACAAGCTCCTGGTGTGTCATGCTGCAGCTACACAGGGACCCCAGCTCACACCTCAGGGAGAACTGAAGCGAGCTGAAGGTGGAAGCAGTGGATCAGCTCTGCCCCACTGCACCAAGCAACACAGCAAGAATCTGTGTGGCAGAGCATCTCCCACATGGCTGTCACCCCTCCAGTGCACCTCCAGAGGAACCAGGTCTTGCTTGCACCTTGTCACCCTGAAGAGCTGTCTGGACTTACCGGCCACCTCCCTCCTGCGGAGCTGCTCCGTCTCCTCCTGTGTTATTGCCATCAGCTGCTCCATCCTTATCCTGCCAAACAAAGAAGAGCAGTTCAAACAGCACTGTCTCACTTCTCCTCCAGCCACCCAGCTCAGAACCCAGAGGCTGGGCAGATTCACCCTGCCACCTGCTCAGGAAAGCCAAGTGCTTATCCAAAACACAGAATATTCCATGATTTTTTGGTAGTGACTAAGTCCATGGGAGACAACAAACATTTTTGGTCAAAACCATGGGGACAATTGCTTCTTAGCCAGAAAAGCTGATCTTTCTGAGAAACAGAACATCTTCAGAACATGGTTTAGTGGTCATGGTAGTGTGGGGCTGAAGGTTTGACTTGGTGATCTTAGAAGTCTTTGCCAGCCTTAATGATTCTATGATCTATGCAACATGCTCTCCCCAAACACAGTGCCAGTCCCCTTTTTTTGCTTTCTTTTATCTTGAGGCTTGGAGAGCAGTTTAAAGCTGACCTAAGTGAGCAGTGCCTCCAATCCCACTACCTCTGTCCTTGTCCCAGCACAGCACACACAAAGCCACTTAACAGACCAGGAGCTGGTGTGGCTGGAAACCTCTCTGCTGTCCAAAGGGATTCTTTTCAGACAGGTGACTGTCCCCACCCAGCACAGACAGTTGGCTGAAGGGAGGGGACAGCACACAGGCAGGGCAGAGCTGAGGACAACCACTTTTGGTGGCAAAGCTAGCTCATTCTGCTGGCTGAATGGCAGCACGGCTTTCAGTGAACTGCTCCCAGCCTGTGCATCTTACTGGACCATCTTCATCAGTGCCTTGCCTTCCAACAGATGGAGGACTTCTGTTGGTCCTTGAATACAGGGTTTTGTCCCAAACTCCTCAGCTAGGACCATTCAGAGATGAAAAAAGAATAAAAGCACCATCCCATGGGGTTTGTCACACTGGGTAAGATGAGGCACATCTAGTCCAGTGTCTCATCCCCAGCAGTGACCACAACCAGCTGCAGGGATGAGATGAACCTCCCCTGACTTAAGGTGGATCCAGACTGGGGGTTCTGAGAGGAAAGTCCCAAGCCCTCTTCCCAGCTTCTTGGCCCTTTTCTAGAAGAGCTTATTTCAAGAAGACTCACCTCTCGTTCTCCAAGGATTTCAGAATGTCTGAACTTTGTTTTTGCCTAAAAAATAAAGACAAACCAAAAGGCTTTCATCAAGCTGAGCAGGACATCCTACTCCCTCAGAAGGCAGAAAAGGACTTTGCTCCTCATGGACAGAGGGCAGCTTTAAGCAGGCTGGGAACCTTGTGTCAGCACCACCCAGCAGGAGATCCTGCAGACCTAGGCAGTGGTACCTTCCAATACTTCACCTATGCATCTTCCATGGATCATTAATTATTTTTCCACAGCACTGCAAAACTCCAACAGGATACAGATGTGTGAAACACCATTTTTTAAGTTGTCAAATTCTACTTCCTTGAAATGGGACTTTGTCAACTCACAGCTAAGGCACCACCCACAGCCACCGACCCTGCCCAGCGAGGGCAAAATGATCCAGTCAGAATAACCCCAGTGCCCAAGGGAGAGAGATCACTGCAAGGCACCCTGGGCTCCTACCTCTGGTTGTCCTCCAGCAGCTTCTGGACACGGCTGGCAATGCCCTGCTCTGCCTGCTTCAGCTGCTGCAGCAGCCTCAGGCGCTCCCCTGCCACCCAGCGCTGGTGCTTTGTCAGACCCTCCTCCAGCCTCAGCTGCTCCTAGGCCAAAGCAAGACAGGACCAAGAGGAGACAGGGGTCACTTTAGGAAAGGCAGTGTCTCCTGCAGGGCCTGCCCAGAGCAGACCTACCTCTCTCACTGTCTGCAGCATCTCATCCTTCTGGCTGCTGACCTGCTGCACGAGCAGAGCCTGTTCCCTTTGCCCCATGTTCAGGCGTCGCTCAAACTCCAGCTTCTCCTGCATTTTTTTTTCCTGAGAGGAGCAAGAAGAAAAAGGAATGTCAGAAATCAGTAGAGGGATGGCTCTGCTCCCTCCCCAGCAAGAACAAATCCTGGCAAAAATGTAAAATGAGGCATAGTGATGCCCTGAACTACAAGAACAGTGAGTGAAATGGCAAAGAGGCAGCTTGACTAGGGGATGCCAATATTCACTCCAAAGGGACCCCAAAACTGTGAGGCAGAAGCTGCTGCTCTCTTCACAACAGTCTCCAAACTCCCCACAACTCATCTCAAAGTCACAAAGCCAAAGTCCCTGGGCATCAACCCAGACAACTGAAACAGCCAATACATCCACAGAGAAGCCCAAAATTAAGGTTGTGCCCAATTCCAGACGTGCAGGGGACTCCCCTGCCTGAAGACAACAGAGGGAGGGCAGCAGCCTAGCCAAGGGGAGAGGTGAACTGCATCACAGGAGCTCCTGACACCTCAAAGTGAGCCTTGCACGAGGGAAGAGACAAAGACAAGTGAAACAAAAAGAAGAGCAAACTAAAAATGTAGCCAGGTAAGGGGAATGGAGACAGAAACAAGGAACTCTAGGAGAGAGCAGGAACTGTGAGCCAAGGCAGAGCCACAGAGGGGCTGGAGTTCAGGGCAGGGGTGTACTGAGCAGTCTGTGCACAGCTCCTCACACACATCTGCCCAACTCATGTGAAAAAACAACTGAGCTTCCAGCACAGACAAGAAAAAAGCCACCTGGTTTGACAGCCCAGCAAACAGACCAAGGCTGGAACTGCTCTCTCATGAGAGGCTGCAGCTCCTGGGCTCTGTGTGACAGACAAGTCAGCCAGAGATGCTCCCACTTGTCTCCTGCAGTGAGGAGTGAGCAGCTCGGGGCAGGGCAGGGGGTTCTGCAAGAGCTCAGTTCTCAAAACATTCAGTTTTGGCTGGGAAACCAGATAAAGGGAGGGAAAATAAGGGAAAAAAACCAAAAAGTGGAGCTATTCTGCAGACAAAAGCATTTGCAGGGGTTCATCCTTACCTTCCTCTTCTCATAATCCAAGAATTTGTTCTGAAAAATAAGCAATATCAGCAGATATTTACTCCCAGGAGCAATTTTTGGTAGGTATAATTATCCCACATTATACCTTCCCCTAACTAAGCAAAGACATCAACAAAAGGCACAGGAAGATTAAGACAGGCACAAAGTCCAGTGACTGCCACTTCTCCAGGGACAGAGATTTACTCTGTACATGCTGCACAGCACAGGAGTTAGCAGAGCTTGTCCTGCTGACATGCCCAGCCTCACCTCTCCCAGGCAGGGGGGGACATGGCTGGAGTCACAAGGTTCTTCTGCAGCCTGCTGTCCTCCCAAAACCCACACGTGCTACCACGCTGCACACACTGTCCCACTGTCACCCCTGTCCCTGGCCTGCTTCCAGCATGGAGACAGTTCCCCACCACGTGTGTTCCCTGAGAGCTGGGGGAGATGAGCCACCCACACCCACAGTGCCAGGCCTGCTCCTGGGCACTGATACCCTCCTGAGCCCAGGAGACACTTCTCGTGGTGGGGAAGGTGAGGAGGGGATGTGCTAAGTGCTGTGAGATCCACTGATGGAGAGCCAAGGGCCAAACCCTCTCCCCCAGCCTCCCAGGCAGCAGAGCCTCACCTGCCACTCTCTCTCCTCCTCCAGGTACTTCTGCACTGCCCTGTCCACTCCATCCACTGCTGCTCCTCCTCCATCCCTCTCCAGCGTGGGCAGCAGGCACTGAGAGGGGGGGCAGTAAGCAATCCCACACTCTGGAAGCATCAGGCACAAGAACAGTTGGTGCTTAAAGATCTCCTTGGGCTGGCTGCTGTGTGACTGCTTCTGAGGGTGCTCCCTCTCCCCACACACACACCAGCACCCCAAAGGGCTCCTTCAGCTCGGGCAGGCTTAACCCCAAGAAGCCCTGAGAGGACACAGAGCCACCCCATTCCCCCCAGGAGCACAACCCAAGCTCCCCTGCTCAAAGAGAGACTCTTCCTTCACATGGCTACAGGCAGGGCTGCAAATGTGACTGCCCACATTAAAGTGAGTTCTCACTGTCCTAATCTCAGGGATCAGCACAATGTCTGGGTAAATGCTTCCCCTGCATAAAACCTCTTCCAAACCTGCCTGTCTGTACTAAAACAGTTTTAGTTTCAGTGTTTCCAGACTCACAGTACATTATCTTTGTCATCTAAGTCTTCCCCATCTGGTTTCTCATTCTCTTAACATCAGTATGCAGCCCCCATGTCCCTTCTCACAGAAGATGAGGGTAGAAGGGACCTCAAGTGACTACTGAGTCTACCTCAAGGCACCTAAAGCTGGATAATGCCTAATCCTCCCACTTGAGGAAATATTAACCAGGAAACAAAATCCCAGGGTGATGCAGTGACTTTTTACAGTCACCCAGACACCTCTGACTCAGCTATTCTGGTGTTTTAACAAAATCATGACAAATTTCAGTGTGACTGTAAGAAACAAGCCTCCAGGAAGGACTCTTGTTTTGCTGTCTGCCAGCAAAGACACATAACTCACCCAGGAGCATCAGAAACCACCCCAAGCACAGCCAACACATCTGTCCTTCACCAGTGCCACCTCTGAACACGTCACAGCACCCAGTGGGAGCTGTGCCTCCCCCCCCAGGCCCTGCTTACCTCTGCAGAGGAACTGCTGAATGGCCTCTGTACCTCCACTGCAAATATCAGGTGATGGGTAGGTCATAGAAGAAGCATCTAAGTTCAGTGTCTCCAAAACAGAACATACAGAGCTGCAGGTTATTCTGGTGTCCCAGACAGAGCCCAGCTGCAGTTATCCTTGCAGCTCCCCAAAATTTCACTTGGGGAGTGATAGTTTCATGTTACCCTAAATTCTGATGTAAGTATGAGTTTGGATTGAGTTTCTGTTGGGTGTCTGACACCCTTCAGAGGTGACTCCACTGTCTCATATTTGGGAGCTTCTTTCACTTGTGGAATGATAGTTTCATGTTACCCTAAAGTATAAGTTTGGGTTGAGTTTCTGTTGGGTGTCTGACACCCTCCAGAGGTGACTCCACTGTCTCATATTTGGGAGCTTCTTAACAGGTCCTTCAGTGGAAGGACTGTGGAAGGAATCTCCCTCATACAGACAGGTCTACCTTGTGTTTAAGGACATGAGGGCACAGCACTTCTCAACTAGGGAAATTTTCTATTCATTTCTGTATGCTGGAGCCCTTAAGCATTGCACAACCTGCTCTAGTGGGAGGTGTCCCTGCCCATTGCAGAGGGGTTGGAAGGAGATGATCTTTAAGGTCCCTTCCAGCCCAAACTATTCTGTGATTCTATGCTGCATGGGAGGGATGGTGATACAAAGGACACAGACAGAAGAGGGGTACCAGTAAGAACAAGTGGAAGGACAACCTGCTGTTTTATTCTACTGTGGCCACCCAAAGGACCTGATGTTGCCTCCTGTAGGCACAGCAGGAAGGCCCAGAAAGGAAGCACTTTGTCAAGCACAGAGGAGCAAGCTGCACAGATCCTCCACCTCAGAGACCACCCACAAGAGAGCTGAAGCCTAATGCTGGGTGTTGGAGGCAGGAGAACATCTACTCACACCCTCTGTGCTGGCGTCTGACTCAGTCCTCTCGCCTGACGTTTGCACAGTTTAGTACTGACAAGTTTGGCAGCCAGAAGGGGACACATCCATCAAAATCTTGATGCTTGTCCCACTTTGAATGCACCCTTAAGGGAGCCAGAAACCTACAGGGACTGTCCATGAGTCAGAGATCTGTCACAGAGCCAAAAACCTCTGGCAACGGCCGTCTGCTCGCTCAGCATCAGCCTGGGTGGGACACAGCCGAGTCACCCCGTGCCCACGGGCACAGCTCCTGCTCCTGGAGACAGCCCCGGGTAAAAATTCCCCAGGGTCTGCTCCCTGTGGATTACTTTTGTCCTGATCTGCCACAGCAAAAAGCACTCAGGAAAGACCAAGGCAGGAAGAGCACACAAAAGCTGTTTCGGACGCAGCGACCCACGCGTAGTCTTGCTACAAATCCCCACAGCGGGTCCTGCCCGAGCCCCAGAACTTCACTTTCTACACTAAACTGGGTCTGGTGTTGAGCAGGTAGGCAGGGAAGCAGGCTGCAGCAGCAGGAGGAGCTGCAGAGGGGTTGCAGGCTGGCTGGGTGCTCACCTCCAGCGTGTGGACCTGGGCCAGCGCCCGCGGCAAGCGCGTCCCCACGGACGTCCAGGGCGCGCAGGCTCTGCAGCCCACCCAGGCTCCCAGGCAGCTCCTTCAGCCTGTTATCTGGAGAGAGAACAGCCATTCAGCACCACACGACTTGTCCAAAGCACGACCCAGCAAGTTCTGCTGGAACACTGACCCAGCATCATCCGTGTGACTCGTTTTCTAGGCTCTGTCGCAGGGCCGGGGCTGTCTCGGCTCACACAAGGGCTCCAGAGGCTGCCACTGCCCACCAAGGCAAATGGGGAGCAACAGCTACCTGCACTTAGCCCAAATGCACAGGCCCAGCAGTGCTTCCTCACGCCAAAACGACCTCCTCAGCTCAGGTCACTGCTGCAGGCTGGACTTGTGGTCTTTACCAGAATATTTGTCATGTGGAGTCTTCCCTTCGGTGCAAGTACCAGAGATGGGAGACAGGGGACTGAGCCTGGGACTGCACATTGAGGGGTCACAGGCCAGCTGCTGCACAAACAGCAATGAACTGAGCTGCACTTCCAAGTTCCTCACCCTCCAAGTCCTTCCCTGTTTCAGCAGCAGCCCCCTGTAACAAAGTCTCCTTCTTCTCTCGTATCTCTGGCCAGGAGTCCCAAGAAGCTCAAGTTGTCCCCTTGGTGTTAGGCCTGTGTGCCCCTGGTGGGGCTCCTCAGGCTCACTGCACCCAGCTCTAGGGGCTGCTGGATTTAATTATAATTCATCTTACCCGGGCTGAGCATGCTGCTTGCTTTACTGAACTGCTTCTGCCAAACACTCACTATTTTTCTTAGAATCTTCAATTTCCTTTGAGTCTGCATAGACAGATTTCTTAGGTTGGTCGAAACCATTACCCAGAGGGGGAGAGCTCTGGCCTGGGACTCCTCTTGCAGGGCACACACAGCACTCCCAGCTCGAGGTGGGTCTCGTGGTCCCAGAGGAAGCCATGTGCCCCCAGAGGAAGCCATGTGCCCCCAGGGGAAGCCATGTGCCCCCAGCCCTCGGGGTGGGAAGGAGGCAGCTGGGGCTCTGCAGAGCTGCAGGCACAGGAGTAAGCTCTCAGCTTGAGATGGGGCACGATGACCCGACAGCCTCTCCTCTGAGAAAAGGCAATGAGCTTGATGAAAACATCCCACAGAGCAAGGTCAGCCCAGGAGCCATGAGCTGAACCACATGGCAGGGAACCAAGGCAGACAGGGGTTGTGTGTTTGCTGAGAACTGGCCAAATAAACCTACCTACTCCTAACAACTCAGGGGTTTTCTAGGAATCATTTCCAGCTTAGATTATTTCTCCTGTCTTGGACAGGACAACTTGACAACTATTTGAATTCAAGCCTTTCCTGCCTAATTCCTTAGCATTCACAGTGTAAACTGTTCAGTGCTTGCTGCAGCTGAAAGGAGTAATTACCTCTGCAGCTCAGTGTGACCCAGGGAATAAATGGAGCTTTGCTCTGAGCACCAACAAGAAACATGTGCCATACCTTTCACATTGAGCATCTGGAGCTGGGCAAGGTCTCCTATGGATTGTGGAAGACATGTTAGAAGATTCCTTTCAAGGTTTAGGACCTAAAGGGTTAACAGAAAAGATATTCAAGATATCCTTTATACAAGCCTCAGGTCTTCTACACATCAATGCTCTTGGGATGACTTTCAGGCCCAGAAGGACAACTTGAACTTGGTTTTAGACAATAATTTCTGGGCTTAAAAAAAAGAAAGAAATTATTTTCCAGAAGCCCTGGTACAGGGTTCATAGCCACCCCATGCAGTGAGACCCCCTGCTCACAACCAACAGCAGCAGCAGGTGCTGGACCCAGGTGCAGGAGCTGGGAAGCAGTGTCCTCCACTCCAGAGCTGTGCTCTGGCTCCCCACTGAACCTAAAGCTGCACCCTGAGCAGAGGGGACCCTCAGCACTCACTGTGACATGCTGCACTGAGTTCCCAGCACACCCACGCCATGGAGGATGGTAAAACCTGAATATTTGGGGAAAACTATGGGACTGGAAGCTCCAGCTCTGCCTGCTCATAGCACCTGCCTGGTGGCGTGAGCCGTTGGGGCTGAGAGTCCTTGCACTGAGCTGGGACTAGAGAATTCAGTGTGCCTGTGCTTCTCCTGCTCTTCTGCTCTCCCTCTCCAGCAGGTCAACAGTCAAGTCAACGAGACCATCTGACACCATGACCACCATCATTTAAGTTGTGATTATAGATTCATAGAATCATTAACATTGGGAAAGACTTTGAAGATCATCAGACCAACCAGCACCCAACACTACCATGCCCAATAAACCACATCCCCCAGTGCCACATCTACATGTTTTTTGAACCCCTCCAGGGCTGGGGACTCCAGCACCTCCCTGGGCAGCCCTGGCCAAGGCCTTAAAATTTATGCATTACAAACCAAAGAGCAGCAAACCCAGATTCTGCTCTTGCTGTCCTGTAACCTGCCCTTTGCAGACACCTGGGATGCAGCTGCAAATGTGTTACCTGAAGAGATGTCAGCTGACCAATATCATCAGGAAGAGATCCCAGCTGGTTGTCATGCAGGTCTAGAACCTGGAAGAGGAGATGATTTCACCAAACAAGGTTGGGAAAAGGCATCATGGTGCAAGAATGAAAGGCCATGAATTATCTAGCAATGAAAATTACTTCCAACAGGGCTTTGAAAAGCAGGTTATGTTTTTAAGGAGATATAAGTGACACCAAGGGAGCTGCTCCAGAAAACTGGATGGGACAACTGGACAAATCATCTCCATGGAGCCAGTCTGGCAGAAGAAGACATTTTCTGCAGGATCAATGAGCTGAACTGCTGCAACACCAACACTGGCACAGGGAGAGGGCAGGACTCTGCCTGGAGACCTTCCTCCACGGGGAGAGGTGAGCTGCTGGAGTGACTCTGCCTCTGGTGGAACCACACACAGCAGGAGGCTGGTGGAGCTGAAAGCCCTCAGCATTCCTGTGACAGGTAAAGGACTACAGCCCCATCACACAGGGTCACCCCTAACCCACAGGGCTACCTCATAACACACACAGCCCTGCTGAGCACCACTGTGAGAGGCTCTTGGGGGGGAACTGGGGGGTTGTGAAGAGGATAAATGAGTTCTGGGACTGAGAATGGTTTTATACAAACTGCTCAGTGACCACTGTCTGTCTGCCTGGGAGGCAGAGGCAGGAAAGGCCTAGGAAAAACCTGCCTAGAAAAGGCAGACTTCACAACCTGTTCCCAAATCAGACAGTCAGGCAGAAAGGATTTACCAGGGATTTATCTTTTAATGCAAGGAAAATAGGCTGCAGATAACTTAAGAATCACAATTACCTTCACAGTTATGAGACTCAGGAGGCTGCAGGACTTTGGGACTAAAGATGTCAGATTATTTGTATGAATAATCAGCACCTGAGGAGGAAAAACCCCACTGAAGCCTGAACACAAGAGACACTGCTGCCTAAAACAAGCACACTTGTTGAGATTTAATTGCAGAGGCTGTATAAGAGCTTAATAACTTATTCAGTATCACATAAAATATTAAAATAATACATGGATTTTCAGAGAACATGAAACATTTAACATGAGATCTAAACAAGAGCCTAGTTTTATACATGAGGAATATCATTAGATGGGTTAAGACTGAAACAGTCCCCTCATCCTCCATGCCAGAAGTTAGCTCTAAAGCCCAGAGACAGGGTTGGCCCTACTCAGATTGCTCTCTGTGCAGTATCACACAAGCACCCAAATTCATGACAAACTTCTTCTGAAGCAGCAGATAACCAACCACACAGAGTCATTCCAAACACAGCAATAATCCTCAGGCATAATAATAGAATTATCTAATAACTTCTGATGGAAACATTACCTTTTTTTGCAAGACTTTACAAGTTGCAAAGGCCCCATAAGGCACCTAGAAAACATTAAAAACCAATTAGTTTTCTAACTAAAAAAAAATCATGTATATTTTTAGATATTTTTGCAATTTAATAAAGAAAAAAATAGTCTTTTCTTCTAACAGTCTGACAGACTTCTCAATATATTCTCTTTTTAAGCACTCCTACAGTATCCACCTACAAAGTAGGCATAAGGAACTTTAATGGAAAAGACAAGTGATAGTCCCAACGACTGGCCCCTGGTTTTGGCCCAGGGTACCAGTACTGCCCAGTTGGCTTCCATGTAAAGAGCTTGTGATGGCTCTTCACCACCCACCAGTGTTGTGACTCGTGGGACACAGTTCTGCCTTCTAACCGGGACAGAACACCAGTACTGCCCAGTTGGCTTCCATTTAAAGAGCTTGTGATGGCTCTTCACAACACAAGAGTGTTGTGCCTAGCACAGAGCAGGGTGAGGCTCAGACAGAAGCCCACATCTGGTGTGATTTCATAGTCAACGTGCAGCTGACTGCAGAGTCCAGGCACACTTTCAGTCAGTCACTGGACGAATGTATCCGAGGGGGCTGCATGGAACTGCCACTGTCAGGGTGCATTTTAAGACCAACTGATGGCTCAATGCTTTATTTCTTCAAACTACAAAGCCTAAAAAGAAGACCAGCATCAGCTTTTTTGTGGTGCCAAGCCAAAAGGAGCTGCTGAGGATCCAGGACCAGGTGCAGCTCTGAATGGAGCTGGCTCAGTGTGCAGCTCCTGTCTGCCACCCCTTCTACCCAGACTGGCTCTCAGACTGCCCCACACAGCTCACAAACCTACATACAAGATGCTGCTGGCTTCTGATCTTGGAAGAAAACATCCCAAAGTCTCAGCAAAGCCATTTCAGACTGCACAGCAGGCAGCTGTCCTCTCCAGCATGGTCCCAAATCTCTCCCCAAAAAGCAGTATTTTTGGCAAAGGCATCCTGTGAGAAAAGGTCACCCAGGTCCCAACGTGTTTTAGAAACACAAGACAATGAATAAAAATTGGAATTGAAATAGGAGCAGGCTTCTGCTTCACAGGATTGCCTAGCTGCCAGAATGGAAAGCTGTGTCTGCTCTGAAAGCTGGCAGTCTGTCACTAACCACTCACACTCCAGCAGGCAGCTTGTTTCTCAGTTAGTTGGCTGCCACAAAAGCAGCCAAGCTGGAAGTGAGATTTCCATCCTTAACCAGCAGCCTGGAACCTGCAATTTTCACTTCTGTGGGGAAAAAAAAAAAAAGGGCAGGTGGCAGACTTTGTAGCTCTAAGATGAGGAACAGCCTTTGGCAAAGAAATTCCCTTATGCCTTGCAAAATTAGGCCATGAGGTCCCAAACTAGGGTGGTAGCAAGGGACTGGTGGAGGGTGTGAGGCCACTCTGCCCTTCCCATCTCATCAAACAACAAAGGGTTCCCAGGATACAAATGCTGTGGAAGCATCAGGTAGGACAGGAAATCTCCCACCAAAACAAAAGCAGAAGAAGCCCTCAGCTGAAGGGCAGAGCTCAGCAGACACAGGAAGAAGAGCAGTAATGGCCATCTCTGTCTCAAGGCTCCTAGACATGATACTGAATGTGACAGTGGGTGACAAGAAGCAGAGAGAGAACCCAGAGCTGTGAACTAATCCTGGAAGTTGCAGACAACATACCTCTGAGAGTTCACATCTGGAGATGTCAAGAATGTCATCAGCACCAGCTTCTTTTGCCTGCAGAGAGGAGACATGCACCCAGAGGATTAGGCCATGCAGAAGGACACAGCCTCTTGCTGCATATGGACTAAAGTCAGCTGGCTCCTGCCTAGCACATGCAATGACTGCTCTGTGCCACAGCCCTGTAAGCCAGAGCTGCTGCTGCTAGAAGCAAAGGGTGTGCTGCTCCAACTGCAGCAAGGGCAAGCAGCTGGGAAACTGAACTGCAGAAACCCCCTTTAGTCCAATAAATCCATCCCTGCACGAAGAACCAAAGCACATCCTAATTCTGCAGCTTTAACTGGAAGGGTGTGGGAAGGAGGTGCTGGGTTCTCCAGAGAGGCACTTCCCAGGAACAACAGGGGGGCCACCCTGGCCTGGAAAGGGCCTGCTGTGTCCCTGCCATGTCTCACCCAGCAGACTGATCTTCTGAACCATCCAGAGCAACCCAACTAACCTACTGCTGCCTTTCTGCTTCCATGGGACCTGCAGAGCCAGCTCTGCTGTGGAAGAGGGAGCAAGGACTCATTGCTCCTGCACAGAAGTGGTTTTTCCATGGTCAAATCAATGACACCCAACACAGTTGCTACCAACAATGAACCTGGACAAACCTCACCACGAGCAGCATTGTATCTCTGCAATTATTGTCTTCAATAAAAGATACTGCACAAGGCAATAAAACCTGCCTGTGTTAGTGCCTCTGGTAAGTCTTCAGAGCTGGCTGTCTGACCCTAAACTAAATACCAGCAATACAGAACTAATCCTAGAAGGGACAGATTAAGCTGCCCCTCCCCAGCCCCTCAGGAGCTGAACAGAGACCCTCCAGCTGAATAAACTCAGTAAAACTGGTTTTTATTGGTACATAACAAAGCCTTCCTTTCCAAAACACCTCACAGACGTGCAGGAGGCATGATTGTGTCACTTTTGAACTGCAGGTGGCTCTGGGGCAGTGCCCAGCAGATGCTCTATGCCTGCACTGGTCCACAGCTCCTATGGTAAAATAGGGGAAATAATTCAGGAGACTGTTTTTGGAAAGCCAGCTCTACCTCTGCAGCTGCCTGGGGGCAGGTAGTTCTGCCAGCCTGGCCAGTGTGACAGCAGCCTGCTGAGGATCTGCCCAAATCCTACACCAGGAGAACAAACAGCAACAGCTAACAAAATCTTCTGAGTGAGAGGAAGAGAAGAAATAATACTGAGAAGGAAAGGAGGGGCACAAGGGAAGCCAGGTCTGACAGGAAAGGGGATGTCAGAGGTTGCTTGGTAGGAAAAGGCAGCTGGGAGATCTGTGAGAGGGAAGGGGTAGGGAGGAGAAGGGAGGGATGGGGTCCCAGATGCAGCCTGGGAGCTGCTGGGGTGGAGGACGTTGTGTGGAACCACAGCAGCAGAGAGGGAGGGAAGTGGCACGAAGGGGGCAAAAGGGGAAGCAGGAATTCCCTGGTGTAGGGGAAGGGAGGGAGGTGACACCAGGGGCACCAGGACTGGCCACACAGGGCCAGACTGATTCCCCTGGCACCCAGGGACAGAGAAGAGACAGGACCTCAGCAAGGCTTACCAGGCACATCTGGTACTCGAGGCGCCTGCGAGCGCCGTCGCTGGGCTTCTTCTTCCTGGAGAAGAGTGGCATCCTCCCCCTGGCACACAGCTCCTCCTCACTGCCACGCAGGGTCAGCACAAAGGCAGAGGGCTCCTGGGGCCTGTGGTTGCTGGGGAGCCTGGCCTACAGCTCTGGGCTCTAAGGAGTAGGGGGAAAATAGAAAAAAAGGAAAAGAAATCAGTCTCGGCGCTGGTCTTTGCTGAAGCCCTTGCCTGGCTTGGTCAAACTGGCAGATCCCAGGCACAGCTCCACAGTGGAAGTGCCAACACAAGCTGCAAAGGCTCTGCTGTGTCTCTGAGACAGTGGTTGTCTTCCCTCTGCAGGATGAATTAGGTCAAGCTGGAACATGTAGAGAGAAAGGCTGTTGAGTGATCACAGGGTCCGCTGCAGGACAGGGACTGAAAAAGCTGGAACTGCCTCAAGAGATGAAGCACCAGGGACAAACCCCAAACTGTAAAAGCTGGAACTGTGTCAAGAGATGAAGCACCAGGGACAAACCCCAAACTGTCCAAACTCAGAGTCAATTCTGCCACAATAATAAGCAACTGTTCAATGTTCTAGAATAAAGTCAGGCTAGAAATGTGAAAAACTCCTAATCCTGAAAGCAACAGGGCTGCCTTCCCCTCCCAGGGTGGGTGAGGCTGAGCAAGACCCCTGGGAATTCCCTGCAGCTCAGAACTGAGGGAACTGTTTGCAAGGGACTGGAGGAGCAGTGAGGGCAGCAGAGGGGCCTCTGGCTCATCACCCAGCCCATCCCAGCCACTCCCTGGGACATCCTGGGGCCCCCAGACACACACCAGCATCAGGATCCTCAGCTCCAACTTTGCTTCTCAGCTTTAGGGGTTGTCTCAAGTGAACAAAACACTGGACTCCTTTGCTCCCTAGGCAGAAGTGGAGTCTCACAGGAATACCTCCCTCATCTCAGTCCCACAGAGAGATGAAAAGACTCTGCTTGAATACCTAACAGCTTAAAGTCAGATCTTTAGTAGGCTTATAAAGCCAAATCAATTTCCAATAGCCTCCTAACTGCCTGCAAAGCTAAAAGCACCCAACTCAGGAGAACTCTGAGCACAAAGCAGATCCCTGCTGCCCCAGCCACGTGCCAGGGTGAGCTGTCTGCCCTCCTGGGCACCTGGGAGCTTCTGCCAGGCTGTGTGTCCCTAGGTCAGATTGCCACACTCCATCCTGTGCTTACAGGGCAGCCAGGCCCTCCCAAAAAGGGTTGTTCTGGGTCACTACAGGCCTGAGAGCTGGAAAAGGTTTTCCTGGGAACTCGCCTGGACTGTTTGGAAAGACACCAGCTGGTTCAAGTGCCAAGGGAAAGGAAGCTGAAGCAGAGAGAGGGAAGAGTGGATTGCAGTGAGGTGCCTGGTGAAATCAGGACTGGAGGTGGGTGACAGAAACCTGAGCCAGTTCTGGAGGAGGACTCTGACTCAGCAGGGGAGAAAAAGGGAGTGCTGGCAGATTCTGAGGGGAGGACAGAAAGCTGAAGCTGGAGAAAGAAATGGGCAAACCAAGGGGTAATCAGATGGGATGTTGGGAAAAGAGAGAGATGGGGACCAGCTAAGCTATAAAATCATGGAGAAAAAGGATTCCTCTGAGGCTGTGTGGCAGCAGGGGGCAAAATCTGGCAGTGTAGAGTCTGAGTTGGGGCCACTGGTGAACAAGGGCTCACAAGGGAGCTGACAAAGGGGGGACTGAGTCTGGCTTGGGGAGAAGATTGGGGTAAGATGAGAGAAGAGCAGAACAACAGCAGAGCCCCAAAAAGGGGAGAGTTGGATGGGATGGGCAAGAAGCCTCATGGAGCATGAGGGACCTGAGGAGCTGTGATCAGCACTGCCCAGCAAAGGGGGTGTGCCCCTGGGAGCTACAGCTGCCCAGACTGGGAAACACTGAACTTCCACTTTCCCATGACTTCTCAAACACTGTTTTAATAAGTAATTTTAAAAGGAATACAAAAGAGTCAACACCTCACCAGGGCATCCAGCAGTGACCCCCTCAGCCGTGCTGTGCAGTTACTTGGTGCTCAGTGGAGCTCCTGTGCTGCACATAAAAAGATGCTTCTCCACCAGCTCTGTGCCCAGAAATTGGTCCCAACCTCCTCTGCAGAGCCCATTCCCCACAGCACACAGCCAGAGACCCTCCTTGTGCCAGGAGACATGTGCCAAAACCCAAACAGCTTTGTGTAGAGAAATCCTCAGAGAAAAGGCAAAGCAGAACTTCAGTCTGAACACACCCAAGCAGCTACACCTCCAGAAGCAAGGCAGCCAGGATGTTGTTTGGCTGCTCTGCTGTCACTTCTCCACCAGAACAGGCTGCCAGACACAGCAGAAGGTGGCTACAAACAAACCCTGTGTGTCACAAGCAAGCTGGAACAGTTCTGTGGCTCTTTCCCAGCCATCCCCCTCTGCTGCCTTCTTAAGGAGTTCAGACTGAACTGCCCCTCAGGCTCCCACACCCACACCCAGGGGGAGGCAAGAGTGGGAATTCAGAAGATGAAGGAAGAAGAGAAGTTTGCTGTGGTGAGGTAGAGTCTGGAAATGCAGAGAAGAATCAAGAGCCACGGGCAAGAGTCCAGACATCACAGGCAGAAACAACAGAAGGAAATTTCAAGATGAGAAACCAGAAGGACACAGGCACCTGCAGCAAGATTGTCTGTAATTTTGCTGAGGACTCAGCCCACTCTACCTCTCTCTGCTACAGCAAGATATCTCTTCTTCATGTGGATAGTGGAAAATCATTGAAATTTTCACCCAAGAAAACACACAGAGACATGGAGGCTGCAGGACAGACAGCTGAGCAGGGAAAGAAACTTATCAGGAGTCAAAAGATGAAGGATCAGAGGCTCCCTGAACAGACTGAACAGGTTTTAAATGTCAAAGCTTGCCTTAGTGACAAGACCTGTCAAACCTGCAGCCTCCCCCCATCAGCACCTTCCCATGAGACCAGCTCAGCACCCAATAACGAGAAGGACCTTCAGCATGTGACCACATTTAACAGGATGTAATCTTTATTTATGAAGTTGGTGAAAGAATGATCTGTAAGATCCAGGGCAGCACCCACCCTGCAGTCAGGGAGCCTCCCTGAGCTGCAAATCCCACGTCCCCCTGGCTGCCAGTGGTGGTTCTCTGCAGGCAGCCACGTTCTCTAAGCAGCAGCCATCCACAAAAGGGGTGAGGAAGGGCAGGGAAACGGCCCCTGTGTGTTTAATCTGCAGCTGTTTGGATGCTGAGAGCAAACTAAACCCCAAACCCTGATCTGACAAACGTCATCAAAGCAGAACAGTAACATGGCTATAAAAAAAGAAAAAGATCCCAATTTTTAAAACATTCTGGACATCATAATACAGCATGGCACTGTATCAGACAAGACAGGGGGGCTGCAATGAAGAGAGGCTTTATTTTCCCTGGGAAAACACGTTCAGGGGCACAGCAGTGAGCCAGCATCTGGATCTGAGCAGAGCCCCTGCAGCGATGCTGCCTAGTCAGAAGGAGAGAGCTGTCACCAGAGACCTCAGGCAGCAGGTCTTGCTCGCAGAGAGGGAGGCTGCCAGGCAGCCCAGAACAAGCTGGGCAGCCCAGCCTGTGCTGGGACGAGACCCAGGAGGAGAAGTGCGGTTCTGTACCCTGCTCTCCCGCAGCACGCCTGCTCTCGGAGCTGGGCAGCTCTCCTGCCAGCTGCCCCACGCCCTGCAACACCCAGGCTCCGCTCCGTCCTGCCAGGGACTCCCTGGCGCTGCCCGAAACAATCCTCCCCTCCTCACCAGCTCCA